GGGCATGTACCTGGGTTGCGGGCACATCCCCAGTGGGAGATGTGCAGGAGGCGGCTGATCGATGTTTCTCTCTCATCGATGTTTCTAACTCTCTATCTCTCTCCCTTCCTCTCTGTAAAAAAATCAATAAAATATATTTTTTTAAAAAAATAAAGATATCTTAGTTGTGACTGGCTTTAAAAAAATAATAATTTACAAAGGTTTACTAAATCTTTACAAATTATGTAGCCAGAATGATCAATGAATTTATATAGCTAAATGTGCTGGAATTCAAAGTTTACAACAGGCCAAAACTACCTCCTCTTCAGAGCTGCATCCAAATTAGTAATCCTCTTTTTCTCAGAAGAATCAAAAAGACAATTCCAGCTCTAGGAAAAAAATTATTAACACTCCTTCTAAAAATGGTATGCTCAATTCCTAAAAATGCACTTATTGCCATCTTGCCGTAGTATACAGACATCCCACAAGGCATCCCACAATATCAGGTGTCTGGTAAACTCTACAAACTTCACCTGAGGTCAGCCTTTCGTTTACCGCAAATACTGTCTGTGTGTGCTTCAAATGGTGGGGACATTCAGAACATTCAGAAATTAAGATCACACAGCTTGAAATCACACAGCTATAAGAAATACCAGCTCATTCAAAATATTGACCTAGGTGAGCAATATTTTTTCCTCAATAATACTGCTATTAGTGAGCAATCCCAAAACTCCTTTACTAGAAGTATATTCAGAGCCTATGGCATATTTTTAAATCTCAACAGTAGATAATATTTACTCTTTAAAGATCAATTAAGAGTCCAGCTGGTATGGCTCAATGATTGAGCATCGACCCATGAACCAAGAGGTCATGGTTCGATTCCAGATCAGGACACAAATACTGGGTTGGCGGCTCAATCCTCAGTAGGGGTTGTGCAGGAGGTAGCCCTCAATGATTCTCTCTCATCATTGATGTCTCTAGCCCTCTCTCCCTCTCCCTTCCCTCTCTCTAAAATCATTAAAACACATTTTTAAAAAGAAGATCAATTAAGAAAAGTAGTAAAGCATATTGTAAATAAGATGGGTGAAACAAAACTTTCCGGTTACTCTTTCTTTCTTTCTTTTTTCTTTTTTTTTTTTTGCCAAAACTAGTATTACTTATAAAGTGTGCTTTCCTGGATTTAAATAAGCATATCAGGGGGAAAAAAGCTTCCATGGTCAAGCACAAAAAGCTTCCATGGTCAAACACTGAGAAAGAATGATATCACAGAAAGTTACATTTCTTTTTTAACAATACCTTTATTCAACAAATGTTAAGCATTGTGTGAAACACCTTTAAAAGGCCAGTAAGACTGGGAATGTTCCTAAGACAAAACAGAGCAAAGCAACTCAAACCTATGGGTCCAAAGACAACAATATCTACAGGAAACA